GAGTTTAAATTCTCATTGTACAAATAAGCGCCCGCCCTACCATACCCTCTACCTTCATTAAAAATTTAAAAAATGGTTTAATAGTTATAGTTATTTATGTCATATTTAATGCAGCCAGAGGGCCCGAGGGATGGATGTTGCTCGATGGGCATAATATGTACTGAATATCATCAATAATATATATTATGTAGTTGCAGTAAAATAAAAAGTAAAAACGTCTCAAATTTTAGTTTTTATATTATGCAAAATGAAAAATAAAATCTTTTATCTACCACTGGTGTTACCGGCTGATTAAGCCCATCGAGCAACATCCATCCCTCGAGCCAAAACACCTCTGGCTGGAGTATGGTGCTCTCCGGATGTAATAATCTTAATAACACCCTTGGTGCATAAATAACTATTAAACCACTGTTCTTTAATTGATAATGAAACGCGTACATCAGGGCGGGCGCTTATTTGTACAATACGAATTTAAACCACCAACAATCTGTGTCCTAGATCTTGTTTCTCTCTCTTATAAACGCCGCAGCCCGAGCGCCCGTCATCTCATAAGCGTCTCATTAACCCATTAATGCCCAAAATTAAATTTTTATCAAAATTAAATCAAAACTTCAGAATGAAATAAGGAGAGGTTATTTTTAATGGTAATGTGCAAAATTTACGGTTTTTTTCTTTGTAACTCTCTTTTTTTTAACGTATGATATATCATACGCTGGGCAATGAAGGACACAATATTTCATAAAACATTATTTATTTTAAAATTTTTACAACGTGTGATATTTGACAAAACATTGCTCGGGATGAAGTCCTACATTACATTTAATGCATCGATATTTGGTACACTTGCCACATTTGCCGCACCTTCGTTGTTTTTCAATTTTGTCCACCAAATGACCCACATTATCCAAACGAATTTCGTCAGCAACATTTTTTGAAGACTTTGGACGTACTCCACGCGGCGTTGGAATATCTGGAGCTGTCAGCAGGGCCTCCACAATTCGCCTGTAAAATTCTAATAAAGAAATTGCCTCAATGTTGCGGTAAAGAAGCCACATGTTGACTATTGCCCCATTCAAGCAAAATCTAAATATCGCCCAATACCATTTTTTAGATCGAATTCGAATCCTATATAAACCTCGTAGCTTATCGAATAAGTCTACACCACCCATTCCCTTGTTATACATTTGCACAACGTTTGGTTGAGGGACCGCTATAATTTTTCTGTCTTTTCTGGACCATCTGTTACAGTTTCCAATAGTAAATACTTCTGGAGTTGAAATGTTAGTTGCCATAGTAACTTCATTATTGTCATTCCAGCGAACAAGAGTGAGCTGGTGTTCTTTGCTATGTAGAGCGTGGGAAGTTCCACGAATTTCTTTTTTTATTTCTTTGAGTGGGGCTCTTTCAATCCTGTCTTTTCTAATTGTTCCGATACAGTGTATCTTTTGATCTCTCAACCTTGTCAGTAAAGGTAAAGATGTAAAAAAATTATCAATATATATAACAGATTCTTGTGGTAAAAACCCTATACACAGCTTTTCGGTTACGGAACTTCCTAACGAGTTACCCTGTAATTTATCTCCACTTCCAGTATAGGGATGAAATTTTGCAAGGTAACCTTTACTGGTCGCAACGCACCAGAATTTATATCCGTAACGGATGGGTTTTCCTCGAATAAACTGCTTCATTGAATGATGTCCATAATACGGCTCCATAGCTTCGTCCACTGAGAAACTTCCGTTCACTGGCTGGAGGTAATTATGAAAACGTTCATTTAGATCAGCGGTCGGGGAACTTTTTTAATCATTACCCCAAAACATTTTTGTGTAAGTTGATATTACCCAAGGCAAAAAACAAAAAAGCAAAAAAAGGCCTCTTTTTAGCATCATTCATATTATAGCCCCATGATAGTTTTGAACAGAAAACAATAACTAAAACATAAAATAAACATCATTTATTCAATTTCTATGATACCTAGAAATACATAACATAATAATAGATAACAATAATAAGATATAAAAAATTAAAACCCATTGCGGTACTGTAACAAATTATAATAATAATAATGGTTGTACTAACAAAAATTAGAATTGAAAAAATTAAAAAAAAAAAGAAAAATTGAAAACATTTTTCCTTCACGTTTTGGAGAAATGATGTTGTTTCATGTTCGATACAATTGCTTCAAAATTGGGACTTTTTGATGTAAGAGCGATTTGAATACAGTCTTCGGCGTTTAATCGATTTCTGTTCTTCGTTTTTATGTTCACTAGAGTGGAAAAGCCTTGTTCGCACAAATATGTTGTTCCAAATGGCAGCAATTTTTTAACCGCCTCTTCATGTGCAATTTTGAAAGCCTTTGCAGCTTTTGATATCCAAAAAGACGACAGATTTGGTTTACTCTCAAATTGAATACGTGCTTCAGTATTAGATCGAAGTTCAAGAATTGCTTCTGCCAAACCTGAAGGTTCTTCTGGTATCATATCAATTTCACATTTAAAAGGATCTACAATCCAACTGACAGTATGTATATCAAGATCTAGAAAGTAATCTGAAAACCGCTTTCTGAGTTTGATAAGATGTCTTACAATTGTATCCTTGATGTCAGCAAAAGTAATATTTTCGCAATCTTCCAAAAACAAAGCTAACCTTGAAAAAGAAGCTATCTTGTTCTGTTCTACTTTCTGACTCCAATATTGCAGCTTTAATCCAAACGCTGACACTATTTCTCTCGCTGAAATGATATTAATATTCTTTCCTTGCAATTCTTTGTTTAATATATTTATACTCTCAAAAATGTCAGCTAAATATGCGAGATATGCAACCCAGGAAGAGTTTTTAAACTTATCTGCGAGAATATTTTTTTGATCAACCATAAAAATTTCCACTTCAGTTTTGAGAGTCCATACTCGATTTAGTACATTTCCGCGAGAGACCCACCTTACTTCTGTATAATAAAGTATAATACAAAAAAATTTCGGTGAATGCAAAACAGGTTTATAAAAAATCAAATTAAAATATATACTTTTTACTCACAAGTTTCATTTTTACCCCCAAAATTTTTATTTTTACCCCATTTGGGGTAATTTACCCCGGTTCCCCGACCGCTGATTTAGATGGTCAATTAGAGGTTGAATTTTGAACGCTTTATTGTTTTGTTGGTACAACGTATTATCGTTAAAGTGTAAAAATCTATGAATCTGTTCAAATCTGTTTCGACTCATAGTGTTACTTACTAGATGTGAGTGAGAGTCCCCTCGACATTCCCAATACATTCTCCTAGAAGGCAATGGGTGGTATCCAGAGAGAATAAGGATGCCAAAGTATTTATATAAATCATCAACGGACAAAGAGAAAGGACAAGATTTTTGTGAAGCGTACTTTACCGTTTCTTTACAAAGATAGTCCATGAATTTTTCATCAAAAAATAATTTAAATACATCGATTGGCTTCACATTTTGTTGTTTCCATTCATTTATTATTTGGGGTTCCATATTGTTTTTGAAAATATCATTTATGGCTCCCTTTTCCAGTTTTTTTTCTTCCCACTTACGATCGATTCTTTTTATAGATTTTTTTCTGTTTTCAGAATCTTGTGAAGTTTTTGCAACCTCCCTTTTTCTTTTGTTACCTGATTCGTGAGTTTCAGTCACCGTTGTATTTGACAGCACTGTTTTCTCAATTGCTGTATTTTTTCGAGAAACAGCTGTAATATCCATGCTTTGAGACAGTGTACCTCGGCCAATACTTTGAAAAGTGTAATTGAACTGGTCTTCCTCATCACTTCCGGCATCATCTCTGTCAGAATCATTTCCGTCATTTGGATAATGCAACGTAAGTTGAACTTCGTTACACTGGTCAATTTCCTGAGCCAAAGTATCGTCATCTTCTAAACTCTCATATATTTTTAACAATTCCTCTGCATCTTTGGGATTATTCGGATCATATTTTTTCGTCATTTTTTCTAAAACAGAAACAATATTGATTAGTTGCCACGAGTGCCCAGCGTATTATATATCATACGCAAGAATCAAAGACCTTCAAAATACTTACTGGTATAAATTTCAATACTATTTATATCACTATTCGTTATTTAGTAGCCTTATGAGTTGATCACTACAAAATATTTTTCAAAATAGATCGAAAAAGTCCCACAAATTCTCCTAAAATACAATCGGTGTACTATAATATAACCTAACAAAACTTAGCGCAAAACTAATCACCCTTTACCGCCAAGCGGTCATAAATTTCTAATTTTATGATAAACAGTTACCTTCCAACATCTATTCTGTAACTTAAATTGGGAAAACAACTAATGTATACTTTTTTTTCTGACTAGTAGATGGCGAAATATGTAACAATGTATCGCGTATTATATAAAATACGGTGGGCATTAATGGGTTAACGAGTAAAAACAATGTTTTAAAATTAAATAGGCCCAAAATACTTATGGGAAAATGATAGAACAATGTTTGAACTTGAATTTAGGTTCTTGGTGAATTCAAAATTTTTTTTTAGTTGTGTTTTTGAGCTTTGAAAATAGTAATTTTGCGTTTTTCTCAGTTTTAAAATATTAATAAAGTGAAAACGATAATTTTCGCGTTACGGAGACGAAGAATGAAGTTAGAGAAAAACTACAAGAGACTTCTTTTGTTCCGAATAATGTAAAAAATTCAATATCCGGTCCGAAAAAATTTATTGTTACAATTTTGTCTAATAAAAACATTGTTTAAAAAAAATTGAACAACTGTTCAATCTCATGAATCTTATTTTGGGGTATCTCATGAAGGTGATTATGTAAAAAAAAATCTCATGGGAACATTTTTCCCAACGAACCCGAGATTTTCGTCTTGTCTAATATTAAATACATTTTAAATTATGACTCCTATTAGTAGTAATGTTATAATGCAAAGTATTACTGCAAAATAATACATTCTTACGTCACAGCTTTTTTATTATTTAAAAATGTACGCAAGCGTAGTTGAAAAATAAATAAGACTCACCCGCATTCTGCAGTGGTATAATCTCAAAAAATGCTATTTTTTACTTTCAATTTCAAGTGTATGTAGTGATAAATCAAATTTGCAATAAATATCAAGGAAAAATATAAGGCGGGTAGATAACCTTTTATTACATGGAAATAACTTTTGTTATTTTCCGTCATGCTGTAGTAAAGTACATAATGTAGAATACAGTTAGCACTTATTTTTTAAAGTATATTGTTATATCACGCCTTTAATCTACAAAGCACATAGGTTAATTTTTGATCTAGATAAACCACGGTCAGTACAAATTATTTAACCCAAAACAAATTGAAGCAAATCATCCAAAATATTAACGATATTACAGGTATGGACAATACTTTTCAGACACGAATGGTTCCAAGCTCTCTGAATATATCCCACATATATAGAAGATATTAATATTATCTCCGAAAAAAAAACTGAACAGGAAGAAATTGTTGGTAAAAATATTGTTGAATAAGACCAAATTAAAAATGAAGTTAATATGAGATGAGATCCACGAGAATGCATAAGATCTTCAGGATAGTGTATGAGTGAAACTAAATGTAACAGTCTCCAAATGGGAGAAGTAGCCAAATAAAGTAATTTTCTATGAAATCATACTCCTATTTAGATTTGCATCTACAAACTTCTGATCTTCAAATATACATTATAAAATTTACCTAATATGAGAAACAAGATTAGATATTTTCCATTGGAAAGAGCAGATAATTAATAATTAATCACGTATGAATAATGTATATATTCATGAATTAAAAGACACACAGATAACATTTTTACATGAGTTAGCAATTTCTATTAAAATTTAAAGAATATGGAATTACTGAACACGATATAAGTTATACATATTTAATATTGAAAACGATTTAAACATCGATGAATATGTTTTATAAGAGACCCCTGCACTTCTCTTATGTAAAAGTGGTTTCAGTTAAATTTCAGTTAAATATGACTAATTTATTGAATAATTTTTTTTGTTTCCAATATAAAACAAACAAAAAATAGCAGTTAATGTCATCTTCTAAAAAATGAAACAAAAACTTGGGAGAGAAAAAATGTTTCGTAAAGTTGAATGTTTCTGAATATGTACAAATAAAGCCGGTTGATAAGTTACTATTAAAACATACATAATAAATGTGACCAAAAATAATATCTACATTTTTTTAAATTTCATAAAAAGTTTATTTTAGTGTGATTACTTTTAATATAAATCTAAGAGAATATAAGCAACATTACTTCATGAGTGTAGAATTAATCTTCATTATTATAACACACGTTCTCCGATTGTATCCCAGACTCCCAACGTTTAAAAAATATAAGAATGTTTAAAATTCTTACGTCGTCTCGCCTATAACAATAAATAAACTATCATCCTTGTTTGGCCATCGTCATATGGCTCATCTGTCGTTACATTTTTGTAGCAAATTCTAAAATAATACACATCAAACATTGTTTAAATTATTTATCATTAATACACAGTTTTGACTTCAACATGTCGCAAATGTTTTAAAGAGATAAAACTATAGAAAGAGTAATTCCCATAAGTTTATATATATATATATATATATATATATATATATATATATATATATATATATATATATATATACAATATAAGAAAAAAGAAGTACTTGTGACTCGTTTGGAAAAAATATAAAACTGTTTGGGATGGGTTGGAGTCAATAAAAACGGCTATTTGTTAACTATTTTTTACTCAAGCTTTCAATTGTGTTTACAATCATTGTCAAGAGCTGCTAAAAAATACGATAAGTAAATATAAAAAATTATGATACTATTTTTTTAAATATGTTAGCCGCATTTTTATTAACTAAACTAATTTTATTTGGTAGTTAATAATTTTTTTTCTTTTAGTTCAACTTTGTAAGATATTTTGTAATTTTAGCAGCTCTTGACAATGATTGTAAACACAGAGACACATTAGATGTGTTTAAAGAAGGAAGAAGGGCACATAAGAAACACAGTATACCAAAATCTATACTATACCGATATCTACATGCCGATTCACATCATCATCCTGCACAATTCAAGTCCCATGGCGAATCAACTAAAAGTTTGTGGAATGAAGAAAGGGGTCGTAGTGTATTTCGAGCAACAATGTCCTGGAAGTAATTACAAAAATTTCGCAAGTAATACGTTTTGATAACAAGACTACTAGTCAGGATAGGAGGCGTACTGATAAGCTTGCTGCAATACGTGAAATTTGGGAAAAATGGGTAGAAAATCTACAAAAATTTTTAACCCTGATGAAAATGTTACCGTCGACGACCAATTAGTTGCCTTTAGAGGCCGCTGTCTCTTCGAACAGACCATTCCAAGCAAACCAGCGAAATATGGCATAAAAATTTGGGCTTTATGTGACAGTAAAAGTTCGTATGCTCTAAAATTGCAGATTTACACAGGAAAAAAAGCAGGTGCCGCGCCGGAATGGAATCAGGGAATGCGTGTGGTGTGCGACTTGTGTAGTGATTTGAAAGGCCCCAATATTACTTGTGATAACTTTTTTACATAATACAATTTAGGACAACTTCTTCTAAAAAGAAAAAATACAATGCTGGGGACTATAGAAAAAATAAGCCAGAGCTTCTAGCACAAATTGCGAATAAAGAAGTTCATAGTTCGTCTTTTTACTTCACGCAAGATACAACTGTTGTTCAACTATATTCCTAAAAAGAATAAAAATGTTATTCTTATGAGTACTTTGCATCATGATAAGGCTATTAGTGACAGAAATGACAAAAAGCCCCAAATTATTTTAGATTAGAATTTCAGTAAGGGAGCAGTGGATATTCTAGATCAGCTTGTTGGTACATATACATGTAAGAGGAAGAAAATCGTTGGCCTATGATTGTTTTTAATAATACGCTGGACATTTCTGCCTACAACGCGCTCGTTTTATGGACATCAATAAATCCCCAATGGAACACCAACAAACTTACAAAACGGCAAAATTTTCTTGAAGAATTGGGAAAAACACTGGTGGAACCACTTAACCTTTCCAGAAAAAATTTACCAAGAACTAAAGATCACAAGAACTGTAAAAAGAACAAGAACAGAAGCGAGTAGAGAAGATGGAAATTCTAGTGAACCGTCTATTGACAATCCAACTCCGCCTGCTAAACGAGTACGCTTAAATTTTGCTCTAAAAACGATAACAAGACTAATATCTTATGTTGTATATGTCACAAAGATATTTGTAAAACCCATTCTTTTTATTACTGTCCCAGTTGTAAACTAAATTAAATTTTGTAGGTATTTGTTCTTAGGCTTTTCTGGGAAAGAAAAAAATGCCTTTTATTTTTGTTAATATGGTTTAATTTACATTAGCAACATAATTTTTGTTTAATTAACTATAATTTTTTGTTATTACAGTTTTGTTTAGCACCATCTCTCTTATTAATAAACACGGACTAACCTTGGACTAACATTAGGCCCAGGACTACCCCAATAACATTCATTTTTCGTATTAATAAACAGCGACTAAGGACAGACTAAGCTAAACCTTGGCTAGTCTCGGACTAACATTTAATCCGAGGTAGTGGCAGGTTTAGAGAGTGACTAACTTGACAATTGACATTGAGTGGAGTTTTGTTTTGGTATTCATAACCTAATTATTTTTGATTATTCATACATTATCTAATAATGGAAGATTATTTTATCAACATACAATTCATTATGTTTATTAGTATTTTTGATATTTTCCCTTTGTAATAAAATACTTTTTCAAGTTTCCTCTTGAACTTTTATAAAGTTTAAACTTTTCAGATAAAAAAATTCTATAAAATATAAACAAACTTTCTCAGAACACAGTCCAACTAAAATTAACTCTACGTGCTCCAACTTATGCTAACTGTCAAATTCTCAAATATTTTTCTTCTTTTTCACAAAATTTTCTCCATTTTTCTTCTTTTTCGCAATGGTTGCCAACATAAACTTGCTGTACATAGGACTAAGGAAGGTTTAGTTAGTCTGAGCTTAGTCCATGTTTATTAATAACATTCTGAAAATGAAGTTAGTACTCGCTTATTCTGGGACTAACTAGTCCGAGACTAACTTCGGACTAAGCAATTTTTATTAATAAGACTGCATTAGCTTATTTTATTTCGATTAAGGACCGTAAACCATATTTGGGTCATATTGACCTGAATAGTGAATTTGCATAGTTGACTCTAACGGTACAGCAGGGTTAACTCTGTGTAGGTATACTCTTGCTTTATTCTGAAGTGTCTTTCAGTTAAGTACGACTCTATTGTGAATGTTGCGTCGCTAGTGCTCTATTCCATTTATGGATAATGCCTTTATGCCATACCTTATCGAATACTTGGGCCATTTCCACGAAGATAGGTGAACATATTTGTTTTCCTTCTAGCGCCTTTTCAATGATGTTGGTGATTCTATGTACTTGATTTATCGTTGAATGACTCTCTCTAAAGCCAAAATTATGTGGTGGGATTAATCTCTTTTCTTCGATGATGATCTTTAGTCGTTTCATTAGGATCTTTTCATATAATTTCAGAAATTCAAATACTAACCAGACATAAAAAGAAGCAATGAATGACGGAAGAAATTTTAGATTTAATGGAAGAGAGACGTCAATATAAGAACATAGTTAATCAGATGTACAAAAAAGGATAAACAAATAAAATACAGAATTAAGAAAGCAAAAGAACAATGGTTAAAAGAACAATGCGCAGAAATTGAAGAATGCCAGAAAGACATGATAGTTTAACAAATAAAAAATTAAAGAAATAACTCACAACAATAGAACAAGAAAACCGGGAATACTGAAAGATGCAAATGGGAAACTTGTGTTGAATACTAACGACAAATTAAAGAGATGGACAGAATACATCAATGAACTGTTCAAAGACAATAGAACAGAACAGATGGAGATAGAAGTAGAAGAGGATATGGTTTTAAAGTAAAAGAGGAAATTAAAATGGCATTAAAAAACAGCAAAAATGGTA